TTCTTGGGGGACGGTATGTTACGATAACTGGGATAGCAACGATGCCATTGTTGTATGTCGCCAGTTGGGATTTGATTTTGTGAAGCAAACTGGTAGAGTTATACCTGCCCTTGAAGGCAAAGGTGTTATTTGGATGGACGAAGTCAAATGTAACGGCACAGAAAGGTCACTGAAAGATTGTCCATTTAACGGATGGGGTAAAACGGATTGTGGTCATGATAAAGATGTATTATTGTGGTGCGGATACTTCCCGACTACCACTTCTGCCCCTAGTACTGCTCAACCTACAACCGTTTCTACACAGTCTCCAGGTACGATCAAGACGACGTTTTGTATTGTTAAAACTAAGCTGTTATTCTGATTGTCAGTTTTTTCAATRATGAGCATTTATATAGAACAAGAGTATAAAGTTATTTATTTTTGCAATTTGTGTTAAATTTCAGTGCTTCAAATCCGATTAGCGGGAAATACTTCGAGTTTTGGAAGAATCGAAGTTTTTTATAACGGCACATGGGGCACAGTTTGTTCCAATTACTGGGAYGTTAATGCAGGAAAAGTTGCGTGTAGAATGCTTGGYTACCCATATGTATGGTCAAGCAGTAGCATAGGTTCTCTGTTACCTGGTACAGGCAAAATTTGGTTAGATGATGTTCGATGCCATGGTAATGAAACTACGATTCTTGATTGTGCGCATAAACCTTGGGGAGAGCACAACTGTAATCATTCAAGAGATGCAGGTGTTTGGTGTGGACGCACTCCTACTCCATCGCCACCTCCTAGGACAACAACAACGTCACTTCCTATGACGACTTCATCGCCACCTTCGACAGCCTCTCCAACACCAAGTACGTCATTTCTCCCTTTGTACATTTGAAGAAAAAAAATTATCCTTATAATTGTTGTTAATGTYGTTGTTATTTTAGGTTTACGTATACGTTTAGCTGGCAGGAACTCCTTTACGGAAGGTCGGGTAGAAATATTCCAGAACAACGCTTGGGGAACCATTTGTGATGATAAATGGGACATCAACGATGCCCATGTCGTTTGCCGCATGCTTGGTTTATCTGGGGCAGAGAGAGCAGTTGTGAATGCGGAGTTTGGTGAAGGAACTGGTATGATTTGGATGGATGATGTAGAATGCAGTGGATCAGAGTTAAGCCTAGTTTCGTGTAAGCACAAAACGAATTCTGATTGTTCGCACAAAGAGGATGCTGGCGTTGTATGTCAGAAAGTACCGGTACAAAACAAAGGTAACTTAAATTGMTTGGAATTGTGTTTGCTAGTTGAAAAATGTGCATCGTTTCCCATGTATTTTTGGTCTAGAAGTGTTATAGATTTACTTGTGCAAAAAATAWACTAGGACCAACAGTCATTGATTATTAATGTGGGAATTATTTGATTACAATTTCTTTATTTGGCTTTATGCAAAGAAGGCTCAGTCCATAGGCGTATTGACAATTTTTAAAGTTAAAACTTTTGGGGAGCACACAATAAAATCTTTAAAAAAACGGAAATTCTTTGGTCGGGTACGTCCCTCATCCATCCCCTTTTCCCTACGCCAGTGGTTAGGCCTATATCAGTTGGTTTGACTGGTAATGTACAGTTGACTAATTCCCATTTTTCCATTTGGCAAGTATTGATTGATTGTGCATGTGGCGCGTTATAACGATTTTTAAGAAATTATGTTTTTATCACGGAAGATGCTGGATGCAATTTTGATCACAAAGGATATTGTTATTGGAATCGAGACACCTTCAATGGTAGTAATTACGAGTGGACAAGAATAAGTGGACCAACTCCATCAGATGGGACCGGTCCAAGTAAAGATCGTACAACAGGGAAAGGTATCTGGACAAAGTCTATGCATTAAATATGCAATTATTATTTTTCTAGTCCCACGACTGCACAATATCATATTTGTTGGTCTTCTTTTTCTTGTTGTGTTTCTATTTATTTATCACCTTTTTCTTTCATATTTTTGTTTTAGGTCATTATGTATACATTGAATCAACGGACTGCATGTATGGAAAATTAGCGGCCAGACTAGTCAGTCCCCTTTTGGGAAAAAGTGCGACTTGTTTAAGCTTCCATTATCATATGTATGGTGCAAAAATAACAACGTTGAGAGTTACATCAGGCAAGAGYATCTTGTGGCAACTGACCGGTGAACAGGGCCAAAAATGGTTCAAAGCYAKAGTYCCTTTGAAGTTTGCCGGAACCTTTCATGTAAGTCACATAGCCTTTGATGTATTTATTTGCTATTCCTAAAATAAATGGATTAAGCTACCCTCATCATGATGTAGTGCTTGTAATTTTTCACATAACAACAATATTACATACGAATAATTATTTAATCTCCTTATCTCCTTATTATATAGAACAAAATGTTTGATCTCATAGATTTTAAGTCTTTTATTTTGTATAATATTACTTAAAATGAYTCTGATGCATACGTTTATAGTTTGATAAAAGAATACAAAGTAGAAGATGATATGTTAAAACGTTTTTAAAGATATAAATTAAAGATTGGGATAAGAGAAAAGCTTATTMATTTATGCTTTAGGTATCATTTGAAGCAGATTGTGGCCTTGATTGGCGTGGGGATATTGCAATTGATGATATWGWGGTTTTGGATGATCCGGACTGTCGTTACTATGCAGAAAGTGCAGGTATGACTGACGTATGAAAACAAACATTGCTGTAAAAATTTAAATTTTAAGGGTATACAGTACAGGAATTTTGATCTGAMAAATTGCGCTCATTAAGAATGTCAACTGTAACTGATTTATACCGTCGCCATATCGATCGGAAAACACAGTAAAGAGGATATTGGGATTTATATGCGACATTTAGAATTCGACGTCTAATTATAGTCACTAGTGTATTGAAAATGCTAGAAATAATAAAAATTGTCGAAGTTAATGATTTCTATACGTAAATATTAACTTTAAAATTAATCCATCATTTCTTTTGTCATTTATTTTCTAGTTCCCAGTAAAATCGTGTCAATCTCAGGGAATGTAACAGTTGACGCTGGCGCTGACGTCTTCATGAGTTGTTCAGCATCTGGTGCACCTACCCCATCAGTAGAATGGGTTTTCGATAACAAAGTCCTTGCAAAAAATCCATCCCAGGTTAACTACACTGTCAAGATTAATGATTTAAGCCAGGCTGGGCAGTATTTGTGTATTGCCTCCAATAAATATGGGACAATGAAAAATGCAATGAATGTCTTTCTACGACGTAAGTTTGAAATGCGTAGAATGTTATTGTTTTGTCGTAACTATAGAAATTCACATGGCGCTTAGTGGTTTGCACTAAATAGCCTGTATAAATTACCTGCTTTCGCATATCCTGCGTTTGCACTGCATTGATAGCCATTCGTTGTTTTATTTTTTGTATTATATTTCTTCAATCTTTAACATTGTCTAACTTATTTGAACCACAGATAAGCCTATGAATACCACAACAAATTTTAACGTGTCTTCAAATGCTGCTTCAGTTGGAGAGCCAGTGTCAGTCATATGCAAAGCTGTGGCGAACCCAATCCCCACATGTSAACTTTATCATAATGGAAACCTATTAAATATGATTTCAAACTCTTACGTCATCAAGACTTTTAAGGCTTCCGACTTTGGCGTATATAAATGCAGTTGCTTTAACAGCTTAGGAAGAGATTCTGGAGTGGAAACTCTCACTGTTTATGGTAATCTATCAAATGACGTCTTATAACCCACGTACACTATTTGTGAGATAGAAAACAGATCTCAAGCAGCTGGGGTAACGCGGGGCATTTAAATTTGAAAGGGTGACCAAAGCAGAAATAGAAATTGACTTGATAAATGGTTTGACAATAGTTGGAAAGTCACCTCAGCCGTTGCTTCCCCTCTTGGGTCCTTTACTATATTAAATCGTGAAACGCGTTTATGTAATAATTTCGCGGGTTCGGAATGTACCTTATGGTAAGAAATAACCGCATCGATCATTACTACTACTAGTACTTCTATTCCATTATTACTAGCTATTGCAAAATCTGTTTTGACATGACTTTCTTGTCCTTTTCCTATAGAAAAACCGTCAATTTCAGTTGTTTATCCCAGATCTCAGAACATCAGCGAAACAGATCCCATTAATATCTTCTGCAACGCWACGGGAAATCCACATCCAACAATAACATGGAGAAAGAGCGATGACAGCAGAAGRGTCTTCCCAACGGGTAGTTTTCTTACTATTCCGAAAAGTTTGGCTCCTCGTGACGAAGGAAACTTTATCTGTACTGCTGATAATGGCAAATACAGTACTGAAGACAGTTCTGTTGTCAACTTTGTTTTCAGTATGTATCATTCGATTTGCTATGAATTATCAATGACGATTTGCACTCTCCAGAGTCTACTGATAAAATAAAATTATAATATTTACTCTGCACTATTCCTGCCAAGCACATTCAAAAAGTATATATATCGAGTAAAGATCGTAAAAGGCCCATTTTAATTACCTTCATCACCTCCTAATAGTCCATCATTTTTAATCTATAATCAGGTTTATTGATTTAGGGTAAGCATTCTTAGCGGTAGTTCTATGTGCAATTTCAAAACCTCATACATAATTAACGAGTTATTAGGCCAAACGAATGAGCCTATTTGGTCACATGCATGAAGCTTTGTTTCTGATAAAACACTCGGTTATTAGTATTCTTTATACACCTATTTCAAAAAACGTTGTCGTCGCCAGGAATCAGTCCACAGTCTTGAGCCTGCAAAGAATCTCGGGATTGCCATATATTATGTGTTCAATTTCAGTTATTCGAAATACTCCGATTTAGAGTTCTGGTTTGCTCTGTGTTAGCTCCAAAACCAATCAACATATTCTTTTGTTTCATTGATAGCCCGAGAAAACGCATGGAATTTGAAAAGAGAGACAATAGAATTGATTTGAAATCTCACACTTTTATTCTCACAATTAGGAATATTTTGCGAACAAATTAGGCTAACACAGAGCATTGAAGAATACGAAACTGGATTATTCTCGGTCTCATAGCGAATATAGCTTTGAAACTCATTGACGTTTTAAAAACGTGGAATATTCATTTCAATGAGGAAAATGTCTATGGCGAGACTTGTTCGATGGGCCGCAATAGTATATTAGTAGTGTTTGCCGCCATTGAATTCAAACCACAAAATATTTTGAATATATTAATTACGCATGGAAACCCCGAGATTCTTTGCAGGCTCAAGACTGTG